AGAGTGTCCATCTTGTTTTGCGAGGCAAGGTCTCTCAGGGAATCTGAGCCAACTTAGAGCTTGGCTAGAGGGTGGCCAGCAGGCCCCAGAGTTCCTCTTATCTCCCCGGTGCTACATTTCAGCATCACTGTACCAGGCTTTTTACAGAGCTGCTGAGGATCTGGACTCAGTTCTTTATGCATCTATGGAAAGCGCTTTGTAATCTGAGCCGCCACTCAGCCCAAAACTGGTTTTTAAGACTATAAAGTAAACTATATAACTATAACGCAGTTTCTACCTTAAATTTTTTTTCTGTTTTGGTCAGGATTCCCCAGAAGTTATTTCATCTATTTAAATATCTATTTCGTCTATCTAAATATCTATCTAAATGTCACCTATCAATTTTTCTGTTATCTACCTACCCAAGTATTTATCTATCATTTATCTATCTACCTATCAAACACTTACCTCTCCATTATCCATCCATCCACCAACCAACCAATGAGTCTCTCAAGGATCTATCTATGTCTCTCAAATACTGCTTGTTTGTTTTAAGGATCTGGCTGTTTTGACTATGGAGTCTGGCAAGTTCAACATCTGAATGTTAGCACGGTAGTTTGGATGTGGAATGCTCCCCCAAATGTGATGGAGGCTTCTTCTCTAAGAGGGTGGATTTGGAGTTGGTAGAGTCCTTAGCAGGTAGACTTAGGGGTGCAGGCCCGCCACATCATCGAGGGTGTGGTCTTGAAGGAGGCTCTAACACTCAGACATTTCTTTCTTCTGCTCTTGGCCTGTGTCAAATCTCCCTCTGCCATAGGCTCACTCCATAAAGCACTACTTCACCCACAGCAACAGGAACAGCTAATGGTGATGGACCGAAACACCAAACTACATGAACTGAAATAAGCAGACTTCTTGAGATCAGGTGACTGTGGCAGCCACTGTACTGTAGTGATAGAGAACCAAGCAGCATAGGCAGTTTAGCAGGCGGGAACTCCGTGGGGATTTCCCTTTTTATTTGAAAGGCCTTAAAATGATTAACTGATGCCCTCATGCCATTATGGGGGATAGGCTCCTTGACCTCCATGACCCTATTATAAATGTTGATGACATACAAAATAACTTCACAACAGTTAGGTTGGGATGTGACTGAATGACAGGGCGCCACAGCCTTGTCAGCCTGACCTATACAGTGAAACGATCTCAAGCTCCAAATAGTTGTTGGCTCATTTTTTTTTTTTTTTTCTCAGAAAGATTTGGCTGTTGGGACTGCTAAGTGGGGTCCCTGACATAGTGATCCTCAGAGGTCTGCCTCTGGGGGGAGTGCTCGAAAGCCTCTAAGTCTCACAAGTTCCCACACACCCACCTTTGACTTTCATTTCTGAATAGCTGATGTCCTTTGATCACTTCCCCTGGCCGCTCTGTGTCCCCGCTTTTCCACCATGATGCTGTCTATCCCAGCAACTCATTTTGCAATTCGGCCAGCTTATTTTCAAGCACCTTATGTCACTGTACTGCTCGCCACGAGACTTGAGAAGACTGTGCACTTGAAGGAGACTGCAGAGAGAAATAACCAGCCGAGGAGGGCTCTGTAAGTGACCATGAACCGGAGGGCGGAACCATGCAGGTTCGGGAGGGGGTACTGCACTACTCACTGGCTATGTGACTTTGGTCACATGCAGTGTCCTAGACTCTCGATTTCCTCACCTGCAAGACAGGGCTAACCATGCCAGTCCTTGTGCTGATGGGTTAGCATGAGATGCTCTGAACATGTTCTGAGCATTTTTATAGTTATTCCATTTAATTATGACAATGCAAAGAACTGTCCACAGTCCAGGAGGGAGTGATTTTCAAGATGGCCAGCCTGTCCTACTGATACATATAGCAAGTAGTGAGGGTGTCACCCCAGCCCCTCTAGTTGTGACAGCTTTTGCTCATGGCTTCGGGAATTTTACACTCAGGGGGGTTGAGAAGGGACAGCTGGGATTACAACTTACTCCTAGAAAGTTTCCCCACAAAACCAAGATCACATGCTATCATCATGGGACGCTTCTTGTTTGTAATTCACTCACACGGCTCTTTTAAAGTTCCTGACATCGGGGCCGTGCTTCCACATAAGGGCACAGACACTCAGCAAAACTCCTTAGCTTCTTTACTGTGGAGAGCGGTGAGGGTTAGCCAGCTTCACAGGCACAGGGCTTGCCTCCTTCGAAGGCTCTGCCACTGGCCAGTCTCTTGCAGGGCATTGACACCCCGTTATCAAACGCTGTTTTCACACGTTTCCCTTTTCTTTAGAGAACTGGACTTTTAGTCTAGAAATCTGCTCAAAACACTCAGAGCACTGTGCTGAGACATGACCAGGAAACCTGGCATTGCGTGTGTGTGTTCCAGTCTTAACACCGGGACCAACCAGCGAGAAAGCAGGCATCCAAAGACCAGACTTTACATTTGTTTCCAAAGTAAACTTCTGTTAGCAAAATGTGTCAGTGCCACACGCAGAGAAAGATCCTGCTTTTTCTTTTAGTCTCAAGGAAACATTGGCCAACCATACAGTTCACAGATAAATTGAAGAAGTTCAAAGTAGCAGGCCCAGGTGAGCAGAGCAAAGCAGGGATTCACCGCACTGAAGGACCTCAGGGCCAATTAATTTTTAGCTGTGGTTTCAAAGCTCTTACCTGCCTATCAGTTATTGCAGCCACTGGATCATGTAGCAGAGTGAGCTGCTACGCACTGGACACTCTCAGGCGCTCTCGTGGGCAGTGATGCTTCCACTCTGAGAAGAGGGTTTAGGTTGGAGTAATAGAACAAACAGGTGAACCAAATAAGCTGATCTCAGGCACTCAAAGGCACTCTGAATTAAAGACAATGGGAGGATCTAGGTTTACCTGGAGGGGCCGCTAGAAGGAGGGCAATCAGGGGAAGTCCCCTCAGTTGGTCTTAGTTGAGACCTACAAGGGAAAGAGCCTGTTCTGCAGGCAGAAGGAGATCTAGTTCAGGAACCTTCACAACTCAAAGGTTCTGCCATGCCCAGGAGAGGAGAACAGGGCAGGCAATTTAGGAAGGAGCCGGAAACAGTGCCAGGATAATGAAGCTAGCCTGCAGGTTCTGAAAAGGGTTAAAATGGCTTGTGTTGGCTTTAGAAATTCAATCTGCATGCTTGATGGAGAGCCACTCATAAAGGGGCAGGTGGTGGTGGTCGTGGTGGTGCTGGTGGTCGTGCTGGTGGTGGTGTGTAAGACTCCTGGTGCCTGTGTACTAGGAAAGAAGACTCCAGAGTATCAGTCCTGATCTCCGAACCCTTAAGGGCACTTTATTGATAAAAGGAGGCTGAGTTTATTTCCATAACATCTCTATTTACACACAACACATCTACTGCACAGAAAATAGTTTTATTGTTTTGTCAGAGGTGCAGGGTGGCGTGGCTACTAATAAACAAGGTATGCCTAGAGCACAGACTATAAAAAGGCATTTCGCTGGGCTTGCGGGGACTAGTACGCTGGGCTTTTGGCTCTCTCTCTAGCACAGAACAGTATCTAGGAAATTAATTCGTCCTTCTGGCCGAAATGCAAAACTGCACAAATCTTCCACTACATATGGCCGGCCATTCTCAGGAGGGCAGACTCCTTCGGTGGAGCATAACTTTATTAGACTCCGTTTATCAGTGTATCGGTTTATGGAGAACTGGAGGGAGGCGGGCGACTGGCGACTATGCAGGCTGAGTGGGATTGTCTTTGGAAGAGCTTTCAGCAGCAGATTTTCGCAAAGTTCTTGTTTTAGGGATGGAGGCAGAGCTTAGGTTCTGGGTCTTAGCCGCAAGGTCTGTGTGCCCGTATATCACCATCGTAAAGTATGCTGGGAGGCATGATGGCGCTGCATGCCTAAAAAAGGTTCACTGTGGTCCTCGTCGCTGGCCGGCCGCGGGGAGTGACGGCGCTGAAGAGTGGCACGGCATAATAAAGCTTGCTTTGCACCGTGTGTGCCACAGATTTTTCGGGGTTCCTGGAAGGCTCCTTCTTTTCTTTCACTCCCCCCTACCTCCGCCCAATTCCGCCTTCCAGGCTTTGCAGGCAAACTGGCACCAGCTGTGCACCGGCCTTTGACTCCATCTGTCCTTCCGCTGGGGATGAGGTTCTCTCGCCAGACAGAACACAAGTTTGGCTCCCTCAAGTGATCCTGACAACCCCTGCCTTCCTCGGAGTCACCGGCAGGCCCGCTGGAAGGACCAGAGACGGAGAGGGGGCGTTGGGGCAGGCTGCTGGCCTCGCCCCCAACCCCTGTAGACTTTGCACGCAAAGCCGGGCCAGCCCCCCCCCCCCCCCCCCCCCGCGCTTTCCGCATCAGCACCACTGCCAGGGCTGCGGGTTGGCTCCTTTTCCCGGCCCCGTGCAGAACCGAGGCTCGCAGGCTGGAATTCGCCCCGGTGCGAGCCGCGTCACGCCCGGGGGAGGCTGAGTGGTAGGAGGTCGGGCCTGAGGGGCGTCGCGCACCCGCCGCACCCACGGTCGGCGGAGAGGTGGGGCCGGGCCCGGCGCCCCGAGCAGCCGCTGCCCGAGCGGCCCCTCCCACCGCTCCTCCCGCCCCGCGCCCTCTCCCGGCCTCCCCGCCCTTCCTCCGCCCCCGTTCCCGGCCGGATCTCCTGCCTCCCTGTGTGCGCGCTTTAAATAATTTCCTCCTTTTTGGCAAGAGAAATAATGCACCTGACTTTACCAGAGGGAAACAACCAGCCGAGCAGAGCCAGAACAGATGTGAAAGGAACAGAAGGAGCGAGCGCGAGCGCCGGGACGCCCTTAAAGCCAGCCAGCGGCCGCCGAGGTGGCCGCGGCGGCAGAGGCGGCTCCGGGCGCCCGGGCGGCGGGAGCTGCGGCCGAGGACCTGCGCGCCAGCTGCGGATGTCCCCGCGGGAACTCCCGGGCCTTTCGACTTGTTTGCAAAGCGAAGTCTTCTTCTCCGGCTCGGAGAGCGAGGGGCTCCGGGCTTGCTCCGTGATCCCGTCTCAGGCTGGCGGCCGCGCGGAGCTTCCCTGAAGAGCCGCGGGAGAGATGACGGGCGCAGCGCGCGCGGTGGCGGGGGCCCCGGGGGGGCGGCCCCGCGGCGCCCGGCTCGCCCTGCTGCGGGCGCTCGTGCACGCGTGGCTGTGGGCCGCCGCGGGCTCGTCCGCGCAGGTGTTCAACCTCAGCCTGGGGGTGGACGAGGGGCTGCCCGCCGGCACGCTGGTGGGCGACATCCGCGCGGGCCTGCCGGCCGCTCGGCAGCAGGCGGGGGGCGGCTTCTTCCTGTCGGAGGACTCGGAGGACTCCCCGCTGCTGGCCGACTTCCACGTGCACGCGGACACCGGCATCATCCGCACGGCCCGGCGGCTGGACCGCGAGCGGCGGGAGCGCTACAGCTTCGCGGCCGCCACGCTGCTGGGCGAGGTGGTGCAGGTGGAGATCCGCGTCAACGACGTCAACGACCACGCGCCCCGCTTTCCCCGCGCCTCCCTGCGGCTGGACGTGTCGGAGCTCAGCCCGCCGGGGACGGCTCTCCGCCTGCCGGGCGCCCACGACCCGGACGCGGGGCCGTTCGGCGTCCAGGGCTACACCCTGCTGCCCGCGCCCGACGCTCCGCAGGACCCCGCGGGCCCCTTCTTCCGGCTGCGCTACGGGCCGGCGTCGGCGCCCCCGGCCGCGGCCGCGTCGGCGCCGGAGCCCCTGGAGCTGGTGCTGCTGCGGCGCCTGGACCGCGAGGCGGCGGCCGCGCACGAGCTGAGCGTCGAGGCGTGGGACGGCGGCAGCCCGCGGCGCACCGGGCGGCTGCGCGTGCAGCTGCGGGTGCTGGACGAGAACGACAACCCGCCGGTGTTCGAGCGCGCCGAGTACCGCGCGGCGGTGCGCGAGGACGCGCGGCCGGGCGCCGAGGTGTGTCGCGTGCGCGCCACCGACCGCGACCTGGGGCCCAACGGCCTGGTGCGCTACAGCCTCCGGGAGCGGCCGGGGCCCGGCGAGCCGGGCTTCTTCTCGGTGGAGGAGCTGAGCGGCGTGGTGCGGGTGCAGAGGCCTCTGGACCGCGAGGAGCAGGCCTGGCACCAGCTGGTGGTCCAGGCCCGCGACGGGGGCGCCGAGCCGGAGGTGGCCACCGTGCGCGTGTCCATCGCCGTGCTGGACGTGAACGACAACCCGCCGGCCATCCACCTGCTCTTTCTCACCGAGGGAGGCGCGGCCCGGGTCTCCGAGGGCGCCCAGCCGGGCGACTACGTGGCTCGAGTCTCGGTGTCCGATGCGGATGGAGGCCCAGATGAGGAGGCGGCGGCGGCCGAGGTGCCGGGCGCACGCCCTGGGCCGGGCAGCATCGAGCTGTCCCTGGAGGGTGGGAACGGAGCCTTCGCGCTGCGGCCGGGCGGGCCTCCGGGAGTGTTCTTCCTTTGCGTCGCGGGCCCCTTGGACCGGGAAAGCCAAGATCTGTACCAGTTACGGCTAGTGGCCACGGACGCAGGCGCCCCGCCGCTGAGCACGGAGGAGGCCCTGCTGCTCTGGGTCTCGGACCTCAACGACCAGCCACCTGTCTTCAGCCAGGAGCATTACTGGGCGTCGGTGTCCGAGGCCGCGGTCCCAGGTACCTCGGTCGTTTGGGTCAGCGCTTTGGATGCGGACCAGGCTGGCACGGATCACGCCAGGCTGCGGTACACGCTGGTTCAGCTCCCGGATCCCCGCGACTCTCCGCCACCCACGGCAGAGCGCTCGCCCTCCTTCGGCATCGACCCCGAGACCGGTTTGATCAGCACCACCCGAGCTCTAGACCGCGAGGTCCAGGAGGCAGTGGAGCTGAGAGTGGTGGCGCAGGACCTCGGAGAGCCGCCTCTCGCCGCCACCTGCCTGGTGAGCATCGCTGTGGACGACGTGAACGACAACGAGCCGGTTTTCCGGAGGCAGGTGTATAACGCCACCCTTGCCGAGCACGCCCCGGTTGGGCACTGCTTCCTGCAGGTGAGTTTCGCAGGCCCCTGGGCCCAGCTCAAGGCCTGGGGAGATGTCGCATGGCTTGCTGCGCCCTGGCTCCAGAACCAAAGGCACCTGTTGTCGTCGGCGCCCCTTCCCCATCCCGCCATCCCCTCTCCAAAGCTTTGTGTCTGGGCTTGGCTCTGTTATCTCTAAGGTCCTTCCTCCATCTCAGGAGACTGTTTCTTGGATTTTTCTTCAGAGTCCAGGTCCAGTTTCCTTCACACTGCACTGCCCCCAAATCTAACGGGGAGGTATCAGGTCCTAGGCAATGGCACACACTTTGGAGAACCTTAGGTGGTGTCTCGGGACTCAGGGCCAGCCTTTACATTTTCAAACATTGAAAGCCTTTTGGCTGCCCACCGCCAAAGCACCCCCCCCCCCCCTTACACCCTTTCCCACCTTCTGTGGGAGTTTATAAAGGTCATCAGGACCTCAAGGCATTGCAGCTGTCACGTTGCAGGCCGAGGTCCCCCAGTGAGGATGTCAGCACTGAGGGGCGGAGCATCACCCCTCCACCTTGGCTCTCCCAGGCCCTATGCTTGGCTGTTTGACTTTGTGTGTGTGTGTGTGTGTGTGTGTGTGATGGAGTTCCTGGATCTTTCCTGTACTATCAGAATGCCGTGTTCTGCCCTTCAGGTGGTTTTCTCACCTGATGTGAGATAAGCAAGTTTCCAAGCTTGCCTTAGTCACTGCAGGGTACTTGGGGGAATAGGAGGCTAAAGCTGCCTGACTGCTGGATCAGGCTTTAATTAGCACTGAACTAGTTCCATTTCAGGTCCCTGCTGGGGACTCTGCTTTGTGCTAGAACGCCCAGGCTTTAGCTTATAGAAAGTATGGCCCCGACAGCCGGTCCGTAAGCCAGGGGCTTATGTAAAAACGGGCTTCATGGTTGCTCATGTCTTTTTAGCTTTGTGATCTTCACCCTTCTCTAGCCCCCGGCTTCTGGAAATGGGGGTCATGACTGTATGGGGTAGCCTGACAGAATGTCGGGCTATAAAACAAAAAAAAAGTGTGGCAAGAATTAAAGGTTCCTAAATCCCCAAGACCAAAATTAACTACAAATGAAACCTACACGGAATCAGAATGGTTCCTGGGAGCCCGCACCCCTGGTGCCTCACGTGGCTTCACCACAGTCTTGACCTGAACACACAGTTTGGGCGCTTGGTACTGCACTACCCGCGGTTCTCAGCACCAGTGAACTGCCAGGGCACCTGCGCTCACACTGAAGCTCTCCTGTGAGCTGCAGTGTTTATTTTAAGTTTTATTATTTTTACTATATAGCAAAATTTGTATATATAAAAATTCATATATTTAATACATGTCTATTAAATACATTTATCTTATATATGTATCTGAATACACACAGATAATTTTTGTTTAAAAAAGATTCAGGGTCTGTTGTAGCCATAGCTGGCTTTGAACTCACTATGTAGGCTTCCAGCTGTGGGACTAAAGGCTTCTATTATGTGCATTTTCTGTTCTCATAAACATGCTTTAACTATAGAAAATAAATAACTTTGAACATTTCCCCACTCTCTCAGCATATAGACAAAAAAACAAATCTGTGTATTCCATTGGATTGTTTTGTATAGGAATGTTTGATCTTAAAAACCACTGTCTGAATTGTTGACTTCCATAACAACTCTTCAATGAATTTTGACTTGGGGTTAGTAGAAAATTTACAGTAATTTCTGACATGGTCTTAAACATACACCTATCATTTTGTACTGCATATTTTTGTGAACCACGTTCTTAACATTAGTGACTAAGAGATCAAAGTGTGGATCAATTCTTAAAAACTGAAAGATATCCTACATCCTACAGTATCAAACTTTCAGCCAAGAGCTAATTCCCAGTGTAAAATTAAACAAGAACACCCATTGTATTAGTGTGTAAATTTGGTTTTGTCTTTAATAAATGCAGCTGTTAGGCTGTATCTCCTGGTGAAGGAAAAAAAACCTTTAGTCCCAGGGCAGCCTTTAAGCCATAAAAATAAAAAAACCAAGACCTTTTAAAATTTCAAAACTTAGGCCTTAGCTGGTCAGATTCTAAAACTATCTAAGTTAACCTGCCCACCATGTCTTACACAGACACATAGCCAGCTAAACTCCCAGCATCCACAGACATGTCTGTTTTCCTCTGCATCTCCTAGAGAACAAAGCAAAACAAAACAACAACAACAACAACAACAAAACCTTTTCTCTCATCCTTTCCCAGAGTTCCTTTCTCCCAACTAGTGATTTGGCTTCCACTTCCTGTCCTTCTGTCCAGCTGATTGGTGAATCAGCTCTTTATTGACAGCTGCTACATCCTCAGAAAATATTCCTTCATAATTCTCCCTTTTAGTCTAATAAAAGGCCCCCTCTACATATACAGATGTATTATATAATACATTATATAATATAATACATCTGTGTATACATCTGTATATATACATCTGTATTTATAAAGTAATACATCTGCATACATATATCTGTATATATAAAGTAAGCTGCATATAGCAAGAACCACGAAACAATCAGGAAAACCATTTATAAAAATTACTTCATAGTGTTTTGCTCATTTGTATTTGGCAACCTTGAAGAAAATATCATCTCTATCTTGGTGGGTCTAAACTTCTGAACTTAAATCAATCTCTAGCATATCTCATCTCTATGTCTAGACCTAAAAACATCTTAATTCCTAAGCAACTAAGCTTAAGTGTATGACTATAACTAGTCTTCAACTCCATCAGAGACTTAAGAAGGAACAAATATTACCTAAATATGTAGGAAGTGCAGGCATGCAGCTTCCAAAACTATAGAAAAGAAAAGAGATATTTGACTGCCTTCACAGTTTGAAGTCCTGATTGGAAAAATTTGTGATGTTGGGTGATCTAGCCAGTTGTTTTGAAATTGTCCTGGACAGATGCAGGTTTTTGAGGAAACAGTGTTATTAAGGCCCTTTGAAGTAGGATCACCTGGGCTACTTGTCCTTTTATTTTGATTCCTGGTCCTCTTGCTCTGCAAAATATATAAACTTTCAAAGGTATTATACATTTTGTGTGAAGTATGGGCTGTGCACTGAGCAGTTTGATTAAAGATGATTCTCTGTAAAATAATTTATCTATGCCATTTAAAAGAATGGCATGGTAGGTCTTGGGCAACCTGCACCCAAAGATTTATTGGATATGCATACCTGAAACCCTGGCTGAAGACATTTTCATATTTCAGTCAGTCTTAGAGCTGTTCCATGTGGAGGGATCAGTAAATTATGTTACCTGTCCTATTTGGTCTTCTTGATTTCTTCCCTTTTGTCTGCAGCCAAGATCTTTAGGAGGTCTCCCCCTGTCAAATCTGATTTTTATCAATTTGGATGGAATTCACTGTTTTTTTTCTCCTGTAGAAATAAATGTATAACCCCTTCCCCAGTGTAACATACATTTTAAAATTCATTGACATCAGTATAAAATGTAGGAGCTTCAGAAATTTGAGTCCTTTTTATTATTCAAGGGAGAATCCAACTAGTTCTTTTTATGAACTGAATTTGTTTGCTTTTTGGCTATTTGTTGTTAATTCCTCCCCCCCCCCAAAAAAAAAAAAAAACAACAACACTACAAGCTCTTTGCCAATGTTGTCTTTCCATAATAATGCATAATAAGGCAATTAGTGAAACATACCACAATCACGCTCCATCTATTTTAGCTAATTGGCAAAGCCTCATTTTTCCTTTTAGGATCAATTCAGAAGATGTTTCTATGTGGGTTTTTTTTTTTTTTTTTAATGTTTTACTTTGTTTGAGTGCTAAAAATACGCATTCTATATAGGCATTAATGCTTTAAAAACTCTTTTAATTATGTTTCTTGTATCTTTTTCTCCCTATTCCACCTCAAATCTTTCCAACACCCCAAAAACAGGTAGGAGAGAGAAACGGTTAGTGGGCAAGAGGGCGCAGTTCTTTCTTAGCTGCTTCCTGCTTGTCAGGGTCCAGATTCCTTGGAATCAGTCCAATTCTCATTTCAGTGGATCTTCAACTTCTTGTAAAAATGTATCCTTTGTCTCTGCCTGAGCATTTCCTTTACTTAATATTCTGTGTTCCTCTCTTAAGGCCCATGCTCATAATTCATACTTCTTTGTTGTTTATTCTGTTTTAATAATTCTTGGATTTCTTATATTATGCTTTGCTTCCAACCTTTATATTTTTCTGTTTTCATCTTGACCTATAATCCTCTCTAATTTTTCTCCCATTCCTCTTTAATTTTAATTATAGATTTTTCTAAATAACCAGCCCACCTTGCCTCACTCAGCCACGTGGCCAGCTAAAGTCCCAGCGTACACAAACATGTCTGTCTTCCTGTGTCTCCAGGCAAAAACACTTTTCTCTCTTCCCTTCCCAGAGTTCCTTTCTTCCTCCCAGGAAGTCCCGCCTCCCTTCTTCCCAGTTGATTGGCCAATCAGCTCTTTATTGGCAGCTGCTACCTCCACCCAAGACATTCCTCCACAAATCAATGGTAAATTTGGAGGTATACCAAACTATTACCATAAAATAAAGTTACTTACTATTTATCATCAAAAGATGTTTAATTCACATACCTATTTTATATGCATAGAGGCCCTGGGTAATATAAAGATGTCACACAGTGTAAGAGTCTCCAGCCTAGCTGATCAGCAGCTCTCAGTTATTTAAAGGTGGCTTGAAAAGCAGCTATTACTCGCTGCTGACACAGACAAGACCACAAGGATCAGTAGCTAACACTACTGGAGTGTTTCATCTTTTAACCAGAGAGTCTGATGTCATAAAGGCCATTGTCTGCTTAAGAAGCAGCAAGCCTTGAGAGTGACTTGGATTAATTCTGCCAATTATCCAAGGTCAGCCGTGCAGACTGCGGAAGAGGTTGAGGCAGTGAGGAGTCCATGGATGCCCACTGTCCAAACACACTGCCACCAGGTGTTAGCTACAAAGTCATGACGGGGGAAAGGCTGGACAGGGTAATTTCCAAGGTTCCT